AATTACGTGATTTTATTTACATTAATAGCATTTATTTTCAGTATCTTGAAAAAATATTTCAGAATAAAGTATAAAATTATTTTCAATTTCACAACACTTCTCTGAACCGGATGAGGAATGTCGCACATTGCATACTCCTATGTTCTCATTCTTGCTGATAACCATGTATATATTTGCTAATTATTCCCATCCACTTCCTTCTTATTTATTAATTTGTTTATTATGATAAATATTATATTACTATTATTGTTATCATCATTTTTCACAGATTTTTAACACTGGCGTTAATTTCATTTTCGTAACAAACAAACAAACAAACGAACGAACAAACGAACAGACATACAAACAAACAGACAGACAAATGAACAGACAGCAAGCAAACAAATGGACAGTTAGATAAACATACAGACATACGAACAAAACAAGCAGACAGACCTGATAAGAGGACGCCTGTCTATAATTATAATTTTTAATTATAATTAAAAATAAATAAATAAATGGTTTTTAAATAAATGAATAATTGTAATTAAACTATTGTCAAAGATACAGATAGCTAGCTACCAGTTGGTTAGTATCTGGGAACTAAATATGATACAAGGAGTTCGATAAATAATTCTATTTGTCTGTTTAAGCAGTAGCGTCCCTTATAAGTGTTAACTAACTAATGTGTGATGACTGTTTCAATGATTGAGTTTTAAATTTGTAAAGTATTCACGTACACACACACGCACACATGCACAAATACATGAATACATTCTAAAATATTATACTATATTATACATAAAATAAAATATAAAATATATAAAAATATATATATATATATATAAAATATTATATTATATTATACACACAAACACTTAAGTACGTCAAGAAATCGATTTAAACATGAAACAAATTAACTTAAGGAATCTAATAAATAAACATTTACAAAATTGAAGTTTAGCAGAAAAAGAAGAAATAGAGGCCAACAAATGTTAAATAAGATGATCAATCGATCGATAAATCAATAGATAATATCACTTTATTCGTAATTTAATCATTAATAAGATAATATAGATAAGATAATAATCAATAGATAATATCAGTTTATTCACAATTTAATCATAAATAAGATGATCAATTAATAGATAATATCACTTTATTCGTAATTTAATCACAAATAAGATGATCAATCAACAGATAATATCAGTTTATTCACAATTTAATCACAAATAAGCAATTCAGCAAAGTATGCCAATCAATTTTTAAATACAGAAACTAAGTTGCTTGATATGTATATGCTGATATCCGTGTTAGAGATAACAATTATGATATCCTAAATGAATAGATAAATATCTGGAGCCATTTTCAGTCAGAGGGAGAGGGAAAGAGAGAAAGAGAGAGATGAAAGATAAAAAGATGTCACCTAAAAATTTGAAAAAACTTATTAAACTCTATAAGACATCAATTATATTCTACGTCTAAGTCTACCTATTCACTAAGTCTGGTGCAGTGGAGCGTGTATTTAATATTTCATAGGCCATTAGCATCACGTACGCACGCACACACGCATCATATTAAATGTATGTACAAAAATATTGCAATTGAGAGATATAGACAGCTGGATGGCTACGGGCATTCATATTTTTACAATTTTATGAATTAAATAAAATAGAAATGACAAAATAGATTTGACAAAATAGACAAAATGATCGTACACAAGAATATTTCGTATTTCATTAATCATATAATAATATGCAAATGAATTTAGTATTCTAGTGTAGCTATAACACAGTTAACTATGTGTATGTGTGTGTGAATGTGTTTGTGTGTGTGTGTGCGTGTGAATGTGTGTGTTTTTTTATATACATACGGCTAAAGTTTTATAATATAAATAGAATGCAGTTAAACCAAGTTTCATTGCAGTGCCAAAGGCGTCACTCTTGGATACATCTGCGAATGAAAATTATTATGACGGAAATTATTATTACGATCTATATATAATTATATTAACTATGTTTCAATATTCTATTTTAGTTGTTTACATTTGTTGATTTCGTGTTGTAATAGGAAAGAATCTTATCATCAACATCTTGCCAATGTGTTTTATTTCATAATCTATTTATTTAAAATCAAACTAACCCCGACTAAATTTCTGGCGACATATCCTTCCCGAGACTCCAGACAGCACCACCACCATTCAGTCTCCACATCATCACCTCTCCTCAAAACCACCAAACAGTCCCCACTTATGTAGGTCAACTCGTCCGAACTTTCTGGGTCAGTGTAGTCGTACAGGGCGTAGACGAGGCCGTTGTTGGCTAGCCCCACTTCTGCCTCGATTTCTGATTGATTGGTTGGTTTGGTCGGGTGATGATTTACATAAGTATAAATATCTTATTGTGTGTGTGTATGTGCGCGCGTGCGTGTGTAGGTCGGTTGGTAGAATGGTTGATTGGCTGATTGATTGATTGATTGATTATTTAGAAACAAGCAACCAACTGAGAAGATAATTTTTGGTCTCCTCATACCCCCTCTCAACCTCGTCACATTTCTCAGAGGGCAGCTGCTGGTCGTCGCTGGTGGTCGAGTGGACGCAGGCACCATTTTCCACCAAGAACTCGCACATTTTGAGGTCATTACATGAGGCAGCACAGTGTAGCGGTGTCCTGGAGTTTTGTGATTGGCTGGTTGGCTGATTTGTGGTTTATTGGTTGATTAATTGGTGGTGATTGATTGGTGGTGATTGGTTGTGATTGGTTGATTAATTAGTTGATTGATTGGTGGTTTATTGGTTAATTAACTTAGTTTTTTAATCGACTAATTGAATAGAAGGTTGAACTGTTCAATTTATAATTAGTTCAATGATTAAGTGTTGAATAATTAAAATTTTTTAAAATCAACCAAGCAATCAGACAGCCAACCAACCATCCATCAATATCTGGAAAGTTGACGTCACATCCGGTTCCGACCATGTACTCGACAATGTGGAAGTGTTCGCCGAAGATGGCGTGGTGCAGGGGGGTCATGCCCTCGTCGTTGCAAACGTTAGGGTCACCAATCTGGAGTGGAGGGTGGGTCATCATTCTCATCATCGTCGTCGTCATCGTCAAAAACAACACTCTTATAACCTTCATAATTGCCTCCTTGATGACATCTAACTCCCCCTCAATAGATGCGCTAAATAGAAGGGCCAAGGGTTCAAAGGTCACTCTCTTTTTCCCGCCAAAACTCGACCTCGCAGAGCTTTTACTCGACTTTCTCTTCCTTAAATTGTTTCTATGCTTATCTCCCGACAGCGTCAGCGCTAGAAGATCTAGTTCGTATACGTTATCTTTGGTTCCTTTCTCGCTAGAAATTTCCATTTGGTGGCTCCATCTTTTGTGATGGTTGCTGGAGTTATTGGGCAGGTCAGTCAGAGATCCATGTCGTCTGACCGGAAGCGTCAAGTTGGTCATCGGTGACGTCATCGGTGACGTCACAGTTAGTGATTTGCTCGGAGACGTTCTAAACTGTGGCGAATATTTATTATTATCATTATTATTAAATCCATTCACCTTGCCATTGTCATTATAACGAATGAGTGAATTAAACAGATCATCATCAGCAGCAGTAGCAGCTGTTGAAGCAGTGGCAGTTGCTTCATGGTCGTCGCCAGCGTCATCATCGCCATCGTTGATGTGGAGGGCTTTGTTTAAATTTCTATTAACGAAAGTGTTATAGATGAGTAAGTTCATCTGATCTTTGTAATCGTTGACGTCATCATCAGCATCATCGTCATCATTTTTATCTCTTTGTGTGTCGCCATCCAACCGAATAACATTTACTTTCTCTCGATCATCGCCCACATCATCATCATCATCATCACCGTTATAATTCTGAAAATCATCATCATCGTCGTCATGTGATAAATAGTTTAGTATTTTCGCTTTGTTTGGCTCAGCTACGAAGATGTTATCATCGACATCGTCACCATCGTCGCCACAGTCGCCACCACCAACGACAACAACAACGTCCCCACCCTTATCATTATCATTATCGTTAACATCATTCCCCTTCTTAATCATTCTGTAATCAGACGATGATAATTTTGGTAGCGTGATTAAAGCATTTTCGCCTGTGTTCTTTGCGTTATAGGGCTTCGCATTGCTAGCATTTTTGCCATAGCTAATGTTATTATTATCGTTGTTATTGTTATGAATGTTATCGTTGTTATTGTTATTATTATTATGAATGTTTTTGTTGTTATTGTTGTTACTAGTGCTTTTATTAAGACCATTAGAGTAACTATATTTGTTAGAACAATCAAAACCATTAGAAGTAACGCTCTTGAGGTTACTATTATTATTATTATAACTGTTACTATTGTTATTATTATTGATGTTATTGTTATTATTAATGTTATTATTAATGTTATTATTAATGTTATTATTAATGTTATTATTAATGTTATTATTAATGTTATTATTAATATTAATATTATTACTACTATTAAGTCCTTTATATGGCCTAATCCAACTGTGGACAATTGGATTAGGTATGGAATGTAGTTTGGCACTCGTAACTATATCATTGTTATTTGTATTGTTGTTGCTGCTGCTGCTGTTGTTGTTATTAATGTTGTTGTGGCTGTTGTTGTTGTGGCTGTTGTTGTTGCTGTTGTTGTTGTTATTTGTGCTATCCTCGCTTGAGGTTGCACCTTTAGAAATGTAGTCGTTAACGTGTGTATTGTTTTCAGCGCTTGAGATATCTTTATATAATAATAATGACCTGTTGTTAGTATTGTTGTTGTTGTTGCTAATGTTATTAAAGTAGTTGTTGATGTTTTTGTTGATGTTTTTGATGATTTTGTTGTTGTTGTTGTTGATGATGATGTTGTTGTTGTGAGTGTTAGATTTTGTGGGCGAATGTTTAAAGGCAAACGGCGGACTCATAATCAATATCTCCTCTTCTGTTTCATTTAGATTTTGTGACGTTGCTAATGTTGTTGTTGTCTGTGGCAATAATGTTGATGTTTTTGTTGACGCTATTGATGTTATTTTTGTTGTAGGTGATACTGCTAGTGATTGTTTTGGTTTATTTGTTGTTGTGGTTGTTGTTGTCGTTGTAGTTGCTGTTGCTGTTGTTGATGCTTTAACTGATGATTGCTTTGTTGATGTAATCGATGTTAAAGTTGTTGTTGTTGATGTGTTTGTTGATGAAGATGGTGATAATGATGATGGTACTACTTTAAATGATGAAGATGATGATGATGATGATGATGTCGTTGCAGAGGTTGACGGTGATGATGAAAACGAGGTAATAATGAGTGATCCTTTCTTACCATCATTTGTATTATTATTATTATTATTGTTGTTGTTGATGATGTTATTGTAATTATCATTATTGTAATTATTTCTGCTTTGGTAGCTGACATCAACAAAATGTTTGTTTGTGAAATTGTTGTTGTTACTGTCACCATGTGAAAACTTAGATTTGAATGGAATGGCTGTTAGGTTTAATAGTGATGGAATGGGTCTACTTGGTGGTATGGATGGTTTTACTGAGGTTTTGTTGTTGTTAGTGTTGTTGTTAGTGTTTGGATTGTTAGATTTGGTGCTGTGCAAATCATAAGTTTTGTTTTGAATGATGTTAGCATTGTTGTTGTTGTTGTTGTTGTGGACGTGTGTGATGTGCGTGCCATTGATTGTAGTTAAAGTGGTAGCAGCAAATGAGTTTGTGGTTTTATTTATGTTTTCTGACATTTCTGACCTGACTGACTGGAGTTTTTTGTTGAGTTCGTTTATTATCTTATCGTTTTCAGAAGCTCTCTTCTTCAATTTGTCCAGCCTCTGATAGTTCTCATTGTAAAGTTTTTCATATTTCTGTGAGAAAAAATATTTTTAAATTATCTTGAAAGTATTTCTGAGCTGTTTAGTAGTTGGAAAATTTAACAAAAAATAAACAAAAACAAAATTAACCAAAAAGATTAAATAAACCAAAGATTACCAAAAATTCAGCTGTATATTTTTGGTGCAAATCTTGATACTTTGTTCTATCATTCAAATTTGCCTGCTTCAACTCTTTATAAACATCCAACAGCTTTTTATGAGATATTCTTTTTTCATCTAATTCATTCTTTTTCACTATCAGTTCATCATTAGCTTGTTTGATTTTTGTAGCTGGAAACGATGATAGTAATTCTAATAGTTATAGTAGTAGTAGTAGTAGCAGCAGCAGTAGTAGTAGTAGTAGTAGCAGCCACATTAGTAGAAGTATTATCAGTTGTAACAGTATTGAAACATCAGATCAATGTAATCATAATCACATATTTTACACATATTTAGCATTGAAATTCAATTAGATTATTATATAATTATATTAAGAGTAACATTGCTACAATTATTATCAATTATAACAATTTGATTTAATGAATGTTGGCATTTTACTGTTATACATGAAACTGATAAAACATTGAAAATGCTAAAAGCTAAATAAATAAAAAAAACTCCTTTTTTAACCATATTCAAGATTCTGGTCTGCCAGGACTAAAGTTTTTTCTTTGCATTCTTGAAGCTGAGCGACAATAATTTCTTTCTCTCTAATTCTTTTTCTCATGCCGGATAGTAACGTTTTCATGTGATGCTTTTTCTCCAACTGCTCCTCTTTGCATTTTTTAATTAGCTCACATTTCTCATGGATTGTTCTTTTATTTTCATCAAAAGCAGCGTTTAATTTGACCAACTGATCGTTTAGAGATTCGATGGACATTTTGTGACTTTTGCCGAATTATTATTTTGTTAGGTTTTTCTTAGTTTAAATTTAAGAAATTTGAATCGAAATTCATCTCTATTTGAAATATGAATTGCGTTACGTTTAATTAATCAATTTACCTTTAAAAAAGTTTTAAAAGGAGATCTAAAGTAAAATGTAAATTACAAGTTAAAATAAGTTAAAAACGTTTTATTTGAGAATTAACAATTTATAAAACTAAGTATATTCAGTTTTTTTACAAATTTAAATAAATTTTAATTAAGTTTGAAACAGTTGAAATTGCAGAAATTTTTAAAACATGTGACTTACTAGCTGAACTAACGTCACTGATATTTAAAGTTTAACTAATGCGAATTGTCTGAGTCACAAGATAACAAAAATTTAAATTAAGACCGCAAAATGAATCCAGAATAGTTAGTATTTCCGTCAATTAGTTGTTTAGTTTTCATATTTTGACTTTTATATCTTCAAAACTGTCGAAAATTAGATTAATATGATGTTTTAACGTAACAGTTTGGTGGGAGTCATTCATTCTCATTGTTTTCCACTTCTTTTATTTATCTCAGACCTTTCTTTTAAATTTTCGCTGTTTAAATTTAAAATTTTTCTCAAAAATTTATTTAATAGTTTATTTTTTTCATGGAAGATTTTTTAATTTTTTAAATTCTAGCGACTATCTCTTCAAATTACTCCTCATTGGAGATTCAGCTGTTGGGAAATCCTGCCTTTTACTACGTTTTGCAGTTAGTGAAAGAAATTTCATTATTTTTAATTGAATTTATTCTTCATAAAATTGTAAAAAACAAATGCTTGATAAAATTTTTTTCAGGATGACACATACACTGAAAGTTACATCAGCACCATAGGGGTTGATTTTGTAAGCCAATTTTATTCTCTTTGAATTTATTTAATTAATTTCAATTGTTTAAATTTATTTATTGAATATTGAGTCCGAAAGCTGTTATTTTTTATCACCAGAAAATCAAAACATTGCAATTGGATGGAAAGAACATCAAGCTTCAAATCGTGAGAATTAATTTTTCCTATTTCTTTGCAATTTATTTTAATTTTTAATAAAAATAAATTTAATAAAAACGTTTAAACATGCAACACATCTATCTCCAAATGTAAATATATATATATACATTATACATATATATATATATATATATATAATTTAATATGGTAATAAATAAAAGACAAATTTAACAAAATGATTAGAATGCTAATTCGCCCATGATGAAAATTTCAAAATTTTGAAATATGTGCATTGTACATGCCTAAGTGAGCAAACCAACACCACATGGTCCAATGCATAAAAACAGTATGTAAGTATATAGGACTTTAACTCTCACTCTCTCTCTATCTATCTATCTATATATCTCTCTCTCTCTCTCTTATGATGATGATGATGATGATGATGGTTACAGTGGGACACAGCGGGCCAAGAGAGGTTCAGGACCATCACGTCGAGTTACTACAGAGGTGCACATGGCATCATCATAGTCTACGACATCACTGATAAGGTCGGGTTTTTCCCTTGGTTTTATTTTTGGTCTTTTTTTATTTATTTTTTTTCTATTTATGTTTTAGTTATTTTTTCCATTCGCCTTTTTGGTTTCTCAATTAAGAGAGTTTCAATCGTTTCAGGAGTTGAAGTTTCACTGTGATGAATGTTGATCAATATCAGGAAAATTAACATTGATTTTTCCAAACTATCACGTTGTACTGCTTTGTGTATGTGCGTGTGTGTATGTACATGTGTGTGTGTGCGTGTATGTGTGTGGGTGTGTGTGTACAAATATATATTCATGTATATGTAGGTGTATGTATGTGTATTCGTTATTGTGTGCAGGGGCACGCTATATATGCCTACATGTTCATGGTGATACTTGTGAAAAATTGATTTATTATTGAGAATAATATCGACAAACGACTGATGAGATACCTCTGATGAGATATTAAGAGGAAGTAAATTCAAATTAAATGTTTAAACTTGTTAAGGGGGTGGTCTTATGCTGCTAGCTGACTCATCTGAATGACAAATTTGTCTGTGTATTGTATAACTGCTATCATACCATACGTGTATAATTTGTATGTCTGTTGTTTTGTTTGCTACGTTGTACACATATTATTATTATTAATTTTTATTAATAATTATTGTTATTATCAATAATTATTGTTATTATTAATAATTATTGTTATTATTATAGTTATAATTGCTTTTGTTGTCCGTAGGATTCATTTGAGAACATAAAGCAATGGCTAGGTGAGATTGACAGGTATGCCAGCGAGAACGTCAACAAGTTGCTGGTCGGCAACAAGTGTGACCTCGTCGAAAGGAGAATCGTCACGCAGGAACAAGCTAAGGTTTCTTAGAGTTGCCTGATTGGCCGATTGAGTTGTTTGATTGGCTGGCTGGTTGGTTGGTTGATTGATTGGCTGGTTTAGTTGATGCATTGGTAGACTGGCTCATTAGCTAGTTATGAGTTATGTTATTATAGGTCTGCTAGGCACCAGAATGAATTATTTGATCGTTTGATTAATTGAATAATTTTTTTCCCCTCTAACCCGTTGATCTATTGGTTGATTGGTTGGTTAATTGATAGATTGATTGATTGATCGATCGATCGATACAACCACCCGACAATCAAACAGCTCTTCGCGTCAGAGCAGCACTTGGACTTTCTAGAAACAAGCGCCAAGGACGCGACGAACGTCGAAGAGGCCTTCAAGAAGATGGCCACCAACATCAAGCAGAGGATCGACTCGACTGCCACCTCTGCAGCCGGGCCAGGGGGCGCTTCAAATGTCAGGATCACTGACAGTAGGCCCGTCAAGACTGAGTCCTCTTCCTGTTGTTAAGGATGGGGATAAATTATTTTGCCGTCTGTCGGGATTATGGATGTTTGTGTGTGCTTGCACGTGCGTATGTGTGTGTGTGTGTGAGAGAGAGAGAGAGAGAGAGAGAGAGAGATGTTTTTAAAAAATATTTTTGGGTATATTAGTGTTGAATGACGTTGTGTGCTGGTTTCTCTTTTTTGTTTATGTTTGCAGATGAGTTTTTATGTGTGTTTGTGGTGATGATGAGAGGAGGAGGTGATGGTGATGATGATGTTGATGTATTTGGTAATGTTAACAATTTTAAGCACTTAGTTAAAAGCCTTTTCTTGTAACGTGAGTATTGATGATGCTAATTTTGATTGTGAAGGTGATGATGTTTGTGATGACTAAGATAATGATGATGATGGGAATGGAGATGGTGATGGTGTGGGGGGAGATGTATAGGCAGGTCGTAAGTTATTATTATTATTTTTAGTAGTAGTAGTAAACTTTATGTCCGATCTACAGTGCCTGATTCTCTGTGTGTGTGTGTGTGTGTGTGTGTGTGTGTGTGTGTGTGTGTGTGTGTGTGTGTGTGTGTGTCATACATTCCTCAAAATGTTGTTGATGGGCGAATGGCTGTATGAGTTATTGGTAGGTAGGTGCTTGTATGAGGCATGTTGTTGCGTTTGCGTTAATGTATTTTTTCAAATGTAATGTTGTAGTAGTAGTAATGGAGGTGATTTAGATTACGAGAGAGAGAGAGAGAGAGAGAGAGAGAGAGAGAGAGAGAGAGAGAGAACTATTGACGATAATGACCGCTTGTTTGGTATCATTTGCGACTGAATTTTTTTTATCAAAATTTCAATGGAATTGGTTTTAAACTTTTGGTTAAAACTTACAATGACATTACAAAAATGATCTTTTTCAAAATTTATGTGTTTATTTGTTTGTTTATTTGTCTGTATGTCTGTCTGTCTTTGTATATTTGTTTGTCGTTTAATTGCAGACATAACATCAATGTTCTGTTAATTTATTAATATTTTTTGTCCGTCATGAAACTTCGTTGTCTTTTTATTATTTACTTCGGGTTTCGTGTGCTCCACGATTAAGTAGCTCTCTTAAAAACATTTATTATTATTGTTGTTGTTGTTATCATTATTAACGTAAAATAATAATAATTATTATTATTATTGGCATAGATATATTAACTAATTTTTAGACTATTCATTATCGTTTCACGCGTTTACGATTCTATGGTTTTCACAGAAATAACACTGCGTTTGTTTGTTTGTGTTTTTTTTTGCCAATTGCTTCGACAAACTCTGAGAAAGTACAGCGCTACATAACGACATAATAATAATAATAAGGAAATGACGTATAAATTAAGAACATAAGGAAACATATCTATCTTTGTTGGCATAATCCAAGCAAGCTAACACCACTTCACACGCATACGTGATGCTATTTTAAAAGTTTATACGTACATTATGTATTTTGTACACTGCCTGAGGGTATATACGCATACATGCACGTGAGTGTATTTCGTATTAATATGTGTTATACACCTCTTTGTATACGTTTACCTACAGCTTATGTGTACACATACATTTGCGTTAGCGTTTGTATTATAAAGATACTGAATACAAGAAATGTTTTGGTGGACGGCGTATTCTTTGATTTGTGTGTTTTTTTTAAATTTTGGTTCTATGTTATATGTGCGTGCATATGCCAATGTATCACGGAACTAACTATGTACACACATATATATATCTGTGAATTTTTTTGGCCGATAAATATAGCTAATAAAAGAAACATATAAATACATACATACATGTATATCTATGTATTTGTGTGTGTATATATACACATATTGCCTTGTTTATAAAACATGATTTGATTGTATGATTAGTATAGTTAATAATTGCATGAACCCAAATAAATTGTTTTTTTACCATTTCAATGATACATTCATAACCAATTAGTTAAAATATGTAAGCGAATTTTGGCCTATTATTATTATTCATTTCTTCCGATAAATAAATTTAAGATTAAATTATGAAAAATAGTTTTTTTTCTTATTTATTCGTGTGTGTGTTGTGAGTGTGTGTGTGTTGTGTGTGATTGCGTGTGTAGAACGAAATGAATATTCTAGTTGTTTTTGTTGCGATTGTTGTTCTTAGATTGATGTTATAATTGAAAATGTTATCGTTATTTGTGCCGATGTATTTGTGTATTGCTTTTTTGTTGTTGCTGCTTTGAAAGTAAAGATGATGATTTTATAGGTCAAGATGAACGGTGAACTGAATCATTGTAGGTATGAATATCGTCTATGAAATCTGATCATTAGCATCGTCAGTGTTGCATGTAACATCATCATCTTCTCCTTTTACTAATTATCAGGTGATATAGTATCACTGTCTCCAGATAGATGAATGAACGTTGTAGTAATGTAGTATTATAGAATCGTTGTCACTTTGTATATCATTTGTGTGTATGAGTTAGATACACTTACATTGAAGATATTCGTTTCGAAATGATATATATCGAAATGATTGACTCATAAAGTGAAATTTTATCCGAAAATTTTAAGTATAAGAATTGAGCTATAGAACTTTAACGTTAACCAGAAAGCTGGAGTAAGAAAATTTAAATGAGAAAAAGTTGAAAAATTAAAAAAATTGTTAGTTACCAACTATTAATTAGTATTTTGTAAGAAGTTAATTAGTAATTTATAGAAAAAAACTACCATTTGAATCGTTTCCGCAACACGTAGATCAAAGTTTGAAAACATTTTGTCTGCCATCATCCACCCGATCGTATCATTGAATTCACATCAATTAGTTAATGGTTTTACTTGCTAATTGGTTCGTTAAAAATCAAACTGCTAACATTCATGTATGCATGTGTGTGTCTGTATGTGTGTGTGTGTGTGTGCGCGCGCGTGTGTGTACGTGTGTCTATGCATGGATATACGTGCAGTCATCTGTGTGGGAGCAGCGTTTATCTAATCATATGCGTAGAGTTTAAGACCTTATAAAATCTATTGTAGTAGAAATGGGTTTGAAATGTATACAAATTACACACGCACACAAATGCACACACATACACACATATGTATATATAATAAATTTATGTAGAAGGTCTGAGTCCATGTTATAGCAATGGAAAAATCTCTTTCAAATTCCAATTACCTTAGTATGTATATATACATTCTCTATACGTATACAAGATATATATATATATACGTACATATATTATAAATGTATGTATACAAACAGAAAGAATACATGTGGGTACAATATGCACATACACACAAAAACACGCGCCGATTCTTTAAAGTTTCATTGAAAGGATGAAGATTGGGTGGGTTCTTAGCATCTTATATACATGTACAGTACATATATATATATGTATATATATATATATATATATATAGTCTATACAAATGCATATTAATATAAATAACTGTATATATACATATATAGTCTTTCTTTAAGTAAAAGCCTAACAGAAAGTGTTTACAAGCGAATAGGATGGATGGATATAATGCAAACAAACAATATCTCCATATACCGCCATCTTCATCGTCTTCGTCTTCGTCATCATCATCATCATCGTCGTCGTCATCTCCATTACCGTCATCATCATCATCATCATCATCATCATTTATCTTCTGATAGTCAAAATTGTTCAATAGTGAGGGCTCTTTCTTTAAATGGCATTCTGAGTTAAATTAATGAACTAAAATAAAATAAAATAAATTAAGAATAAAATAAAATAAATTATGAAATAAATTAGATTAGTTAGTTAATTAATTAATTAATTGAAATGTAAATGAAATATAAGTGTAATTGAATGAATTAATAAATTGGTATGCGGAAAATTGTTGCTGGATTGATGTGTGGTTTGTAACGTTCCCAAAAAGTGCCTAAGCTACACCTAAAGAAGTACGTAAAAAAAATGTTTAATTCAATTAAAAATGATATTTTCTATTAAATTAATAAATTAATTAATTAATATTAATTTATTATTAATTAATTACCAATTAATTTATTCATTCTGTCTAGTGAAAGATGTTTAATTATTTCTATTCTGAATGATTAGAACAAGCCAGTAAACCACATTGCGAAATGAAAAAATAAATATAACCACATTTCGGCAATGTCATCTTCATCCTCATCGTCATCTTCATCATTATCGTCATCATCCAAGACATTAGCATTCTGATTATAGTTTATTGATACTATATCCTTAATCAAGCAAGACATCATCATTACTTTTATCGTTGTTTTTATTGCTGTTGGTAGATACTATATCATCACCATCATCGTCGTAGTCGTCGCCATATCCATTATCTTTACGTCATTATTACGTCAATGTTGGAGTACCAAAGATTATGAAATGTCGTCGAGACGAAAGTCGAAACTTCCACAGCGGAAAAAGTTCAGCGCTAAATCAGGTTTTTATATTACAAATTATTTATTATTTTTTTGTAGTAATTTATTATTAACTCGTGAACTATTTATTTAGTTAGGTGTTCGTATATGCTTTTTGTTATTTGTTCATCGTTCATTCTCTTGTTCGTTCGTGTGTTCGTTCGTTCATTCGTTTGTAAATAAAGTAAAACGATTATATAATTATAAATAACAATTATGAAAGGGGAACAATAGGTCGGTCTTACCAAGCAATATCGAATTTCTAATCCACATCAACCAGCCAACAAATCAATAAACCGTCTGATCAATCAACCAATCAGTCATTTGATCAACCAAACAATTAATCAATCATTCAGTCAACCAGCCAACCAACCAACCAATCATTCTTCCAATCTGTCAGCAAGCCAATTTATCGTGATAACAAAATCTCAATGTTAACAGTGCCAAAACTCAAAGGAAACCTATGGAAATAAACAAATCTACTTGATGTATTAACTTGTGTGCGTGTGTGTGTGTTTGTGTATGTGTATGTGTTTGTGGGTGTGTGTGTGTGTGTGTTTGTGAGTGAGTATGGTCATTAAAGTGTTGATTAATAACATCCTAAATGGGAAGTAGGAATATCTAATGAACACTGTGAGTTAGTGAACCTCTGTGCATGCGAACGTAACGTACGTGTGTGTGTGTGTGTGTGTGAGAGAGAGAGAGAGAGAGAGAGAGAGGAGAGAGAGAGAGAGGAGTGGAAAAATAAAAAAAAAAGAAATGAGGAAAAAAAACAAACAAATAACAAAAACGGATGAATGCAGATAGTGAAATAACCAGTGTGACTGAAATCAAAAAGAAAATGCGAGAGAAAGAGGAGAAAGAAAGAGAAAGAGAGAGTAAGAGAAAAAGAGAGAGAGAGAGAGAGAGTTGAGCAGATGTTACGTCACACGATGCATACAGCCATCTCGTGTAAGTTCTTTTTCAACCACTTCACTGCCTCCCTTAGCTTCATTTGCATAAGATT